GGCAGGATCCTCCCTTTCCATAGCGCTTAAGAGATTCTGCTGCAGAAAATGGCCCAACATTGATATCCAAAGTTATGGAGTAAGTAAATAATAAATTAATTACAACTGACATAGAGAATTTTAAATCTCAGAGTCATTAGTTGAGTTTGGAAAAATAAAGAGGCTCTTATTGAATCGTTTTCAGGGCACAGAGTTGCAAAAGATGCCATTATCACTGGATGATGCGGCGGGAATTCCTGGCTCTTCTCTATATATTGGAATTTAATTTCTACCTTAAATAAATCTCACTCTCAATGGGGGTTTTGACAGTACCAGGGCCATTGATGAGAAAGAAAGCCCTGGAAACCTAATTATAAGCTCAAAAGACATCCAGGGACAGATATGTAAGGGAAAGGTGTGAAATCCAACTGCTGTATCATTCTGGGCTTGTGCTGTGTCTAGGTGTTTGTAACTAATGCAATTATTTTTCTCTAACAGACATTTCAAAGAATGGCATTTAAAGTGACTATATAGTAAATTAAAGAAAGGAAGTTACAAATTTTGTACAGACATCATCAAAAAGAGAACCAAGGTGTGCTGACAAAGAAGATTGTTCCTTCAAACAAGGTTGCTGCCCATTCTCTGATGTGCAGCCTTTAAATTTAAAGGTGCAGGTGGCCAAAAAATACTCTCACAAGAAAGAGTAGCAGACCACTATGACAAAATGGCTCAGAGATTCTATTCCTTTTTATTTTTCACTCAAAACAAGGGCTTTAACTGGCAAAAACAAGCTTTTCATCAGATGACGGTGATTTTACTGTGTATGTATTAGAGGCTATGCTGTTTTATTGTTTCATTCTGTCCTTCCAGTGGCCTGAATCTCTCTGTGGACATAATCTTTAACAGCATACTCTATTGTCTGATTATCAAATTGTCTCAGAAACATTCAGAGAATTTTGGAAATATTCACTGCAAAGAATGTGACAATTCACCTTACTGGAGGATAATTTGTTCATAAATATCGAAGGCCTTAAAAATGTGCTTACCTTCAACACAGAAATTTGCCCTCTAGGAATTTATCCTAAGAAAATTATTAAAGATGTGTGCAATTACATGTATATAAGGATGATCACTGGAGTGACAACTTCAAACCCTATAAGTATCTGACCATGAGAAATAGCAAAAAAATTATGGTGCAGTCACATAATGAAATGAAATAGCATCTAAAACTATATTACAGACATATTTATTGTCACAGGGAAGCATTCAGAGTATAGCAAATAGGAAAAAGTTTACAAAACAACATGAATAGTATGATCTTATTTTTGTGAGGAAAGTAATATAGTAGACGTCTTCTTTATTTGACCTCATTGGGTCACGGGTTTTGTTAAAGAAAAAAGCTTTAACTTTTTTTTTTACCACTTTAATGGTAAAACATTAAAAAAAAAATACTCATATAGATTACACATTTTCTTTAAACCTAAAACATGAATATATACTTTTCTACCAGTCACTTGTTAAGGGCCAACACTCACTTTTGGGGCTGTAGGGGGCTTTTTATACGGTTTTGCACTGTCTGTCTTTAGGTACTGCACTTCGTGTACTGTAAACATCTCCAGTTTCAATTTCTTTAATTGGAGAGAAAACATAGAGACACTTATCAAGTAATCTAAGTTCAAAATCCTCCCATACTTTTATAATTTTATTCCAATTCTGGCAATTGTCTTATCTACACCTAGTCTGATGGAAAATATTTAGCAAGTTGACTTTTGAAAAATTTTTCCATAGCATTAAAGTTAATTTTCATCAATGACTCACGCCTGTAATCCCAGAACTTTGGGAGGCCAAGACAGTTGGACTGCTTAAGCTCAGGAGTTTGAGACAACCTGGGCAACACAGCAAAACTCCATCTCTATAAAAAAAAAACATAAAAAATTAGCCGCATGTGGTGGCATGCACCTGTAGTCCCAGCTACTCGGGGGGCTGAGGTGAAAGGATCACTGGAGCCTGGGAGGTCAAGGCTGCAGTGAGCTCCAGTCTGGGCAACAAAGTGAGACCCTGTTTCAAAAAAAAAAAGAAAAAAAAACTTTAAATAAAGTTAATTTTCACAGAAATGACCCTTTTTCAAATTCATATTTCATCAGTTTGCATACTTACAATAACACAACCATTATAAACAGATATGGGTTAAAACAGTACAAATAGATTTGGGCAGGTAAATGTACACTTGAGAGTAGCCTGCTAATCACATCAGACAAAAAATGCTTACTAAGCAATGGAAAGCATTGTTTAATCTGGCAAGCATGCCGAATAGATGTCGAGAAGAGGTGGAAATGCTCCTCTCCCTGTACCATGCATGGCTGGCTCATGGGCTCCCTTTAGCATGCGTGGCTGGCTCATGCGCAACCTTCTGACCTCAGCCTGTGTCACTTCCCCACAAAGTCTTCCATGACCATCCTAACTACTCCTCTTATTCTTCATTACACCGCATCATCCTGTTTTTTTCTTCTGAAAATCGTCCTTTGTAATTTTCCTATTTACCTTCTAACCACTTGCTTATCATCGGTCTTCACCACTAGAAATTAAACTTGTCCATCTGGTTGCACACTAACACCCAGCACAGTGCTTAATGTAGTTGTCATTTGACATTTACTTAGTATATACATATATACCTACTGTATATATGTATGAATGCTTATAGTTTAAGTGATCTCGTGATTTCAGAGGAAAAAATTATTCTGTCTCATCAGACACAGAATATATAATCTTGCAGAGATATTTGGATGACATTATGCATATATATTTAGGATGCAGCCTTAATCTGTATTCTTTTCCCCTAATTGAAATGTCTGTATTCATTTATTTTCATTTAATATCCATCCTCATCATAAACAAATATTAAATATCAAAAAGAATATAATTAATCGCTGAACAACACACAGGCAATTATAACCTCCAGAGTGAGGTGAAATAGGGCCTAAGAAATAGTCTCTTGAGGATTCCTATGGATGTTGTTCCTGTAAAGCCAGCTGAGCCATCTGTTGAGAGGTGGCATCAAAGGTCAGTGGTTTCGAGCTCCTGGAGATCAGACATCTTAAAAGAGAGATCCCTAACATGGGAAAACAAAAAACAAAAAAAAAACAAACTTACATAAAAAGTTGTAGTAAAGCAAAGAGCCAGGAGGAGTTTAACTCTGAGAATAACCACTCTGGTGGATTCTAAGAGATTGGTGGAGGAAGGTCTTTCAGTTATACAGCAGTGCTAGCTAGTTGAGGTCTTTTGGTGACATTATTTAGTCACCAGTTTTAGTTACCTCTCATAAAATGGCATACGTGACCTAATCACTTCACTAGGCTTCCTTAGTGACCCAGGCAGCAGCTTGTCCATGGAGAAATGTAACACATGCGTGGTCGGCTGCTGTGGTGAGTTCTTCAAGCTGACAGGTTTCGACTAGCAGGGCTTCCTCAGAGAGAATGGGAAAGGGCCCCCTGCAAGACAACAGTTCCAAACAGGGATCTGGGAAGTCAGGTTTTAGTTCTCAGTAATGCTGAGTCAGACAGACAGGAAGGAGGAAAATTGGAAATGTCAGTTTTCAGAATTGTAGCCAGATATTGAAGTAAAATGAAAGAATTAAAAATTACCTCTGTGGCATGGTTACTTCTGTGGCATAAGTTACTTCTGAAGTATGGAAAAAAGAAAATAAAGTCAATCTAAAAAATGTTTTGGGCCAGGCGTGGTGCTTCACACCTGTAATCCCAGCACTTTTGAGGCGAGCTGAGGCCAGGAGTTTAAGATCAGCCTGGCCAACATGGCAAAACTCCATTTCTACTAAAAACACAAAAATTAGCTGGGCCATAGTGGTGCACATTTGTAGTCCCAGACACTCAGGGGCCTGAGGCAGGAGAATCACTTGAACCTGGGAGGCAGAGGTTGCAGGGAGCCAAGCTCACACCACTACACTCCAGCCTGGGCAACAGAGCAAGACTCTCTCGCAAAAAATAAAACAAAATCTATAAACATACTGTTTAACCTAATTTTCAAAGAAAAGTAGATATTACATCTAATTTATAAAAATAGATTAACATGGTCGGGCACTGTGGCTCATGCCTGTAATCCCAGCACTTTGGGAGGCCGAGGCGGGTGGATCACAAGGTCAGGAGTTTGAGACCAGTCTGGCCAATATGGAGAAACCCTGTATCTACTAAATATACAAAAATTAGCTGGGCGTGGTAGCACTTGCCTGTAGTCCCAGCAACTCAGGAGGCTGAGGCAGAAGAATTGCTTGAACCCAGGAGGTGGAGGTTGCAGTGAGCTGAGATCACACCACTGCACTACAGCCTGGGTGACAAAGCGAGACTCTATCTCAAAAAAAAAAAAAAAAAAAATAGAATAACGTAATCTTTACAGAGAAAAAAAATCTTGACATATAATAATTCAGAGACATGACATACCATGAATATGAAAAGCACACGTAAGACTATATCAAGGATATATCAAGAGTATTAAGTAAAGAGATTTGGCAAGTCTTGAGTGTGGTGTAAACCTCTGCATTTTTATAAAACTGCAGGGATAAGTGATGTAAATTCTCAGTTGAAATCTGCTGGCCTGGAAGATGTTAGATTCAAATTAAAGCAGTAAAGTTGCACCCAAGTTAACATTTAAAAAGTAACTGAATCTATTGAGAGGAGAGACAGACCCCCTCAAATTGTTTTATATTGTTTTATACTCAGAAAAGGAAAGAGAAGTGAAACTAAAGGCAGGTAGCCCGGCGCCTAGGAACCAGACCCGAAACCAGGCCTGGGCCTGCCTGACCTAAGCCTGGTAGTTAAAGATCGACCCCTGACCTAACCAGTTATTTATAGATTCCAGACATATGGAAAGGCATTGTAAAAATTCCTCTCCTGTTCTGTTTCGTTCTGATTACCGGTGCATGCAGCACCCGGTCACGTACCCCCTGCTTGCTCCATTGATCACGACCCTCTCACACAGACCCCCTTAGAGTTGTGAGTCCTTAAAAGGGACAGGAATTGCTCACTCGGGGAGCTCGGCTCTTGAGACAGGAGTCCTGTCGATGTTCCCGGCCGGCTGAATAAACCTCTTCCTTCTTTAACTCGGTGTCAAGGAGTTTTGTCTGCAGCTTGTCCTGCTACATTTCTTGGTTCCCTGACCGGGAAGCGAGGTGAATGGCGGATGGTGGAGACAGCTCCTTAGGCGGCTTAAACCTGCCCTGTGGAACATCCCTGTGGGGGATTCCAACCAGCCAGAGCGAGGCGGAGCCTGAGAGTGCTCCCGGATCCAGAGAGCACTCCCGGTTAGGCATTTGCCCTGGTGGGACGCCTCACCAAAGCAGTGTGTGGCAGGTCCCCTGGAGGATCAACGCAGTGGCTGAACACCGGTAAGGAACGGATACTTGGAGTCCGGACATCTGAAACTTGGTAAGACTAGTCTTTGGAACTTGCCTACTCCATTGGAATGGAAGCGTGGCCTGATCACCCACGGTGTGCCTGTACCGGCACTTTGGTTTTTGTTTTTGACTTGACTTGGATTGCTTGATACTTTGGTTTTGGTTTTGACCTGGCTGGGATTTCTGGATACTCTGCTTTTGGTTTTGATTTTGGTTTGGTGTAAACTGCAAAAGTGTGTGTGTGCCCTTTTTACCCTTTCTTTGTTTTGTGGTGTGCGTGTGGTGTGAGCGTGGTGTTTTATCTTGAAGAAGCATGGGTCAGGCACAAATAAGCCCACCCTACTAGGAACTATATTGAAAAATTTCAAAAGAAGGAGTCAAGGGGAGAGAGAGAAAGAGAGAAAGGAAGAGAGAGAGAGAAAGAGACAGAGGAAAAAGAATAGTGAAAGAGAGAGAGACAAAGTCAAAGAGACAACAAGAGATATATACAAGTAGTTAAGGAAAAAAAAAAGTGTATCCTATTCCTTTAAAAGCCAAGGTAAATTTAAAAGCTGTAATTGATAATTGAAGGTATTCTCGGTAGCCCTATAACACTCCAATACCACTTTGTTGTCAGTGTAAACAAGGGCATATCCCTAAAGTACTGAGGCCTTTCTATCAAAAATCCTTAACCCAGTAACCTGCGGATGGCCCAAATGCATTCCATCTATAGCGGCAACTGCTTTGTTAACGGAAAAAAAGTAAAAAAAAAATAAATAACTTTTAGAGGAAACCTCATTGTGAGCACATCTCACCAGTTCAGAAGTATCCTAAGGAAAAAAAGGGGGGTGGAATTTATGTAAAAAGAGTATTCTACAGTAAATTCTTGTCCTGAAATAAAGTAACTGGTTGGTTAAAGAAGGAAATATTTGTAATAAGTCAGAAAGTTGAAGCATGTTGAAGAATTGTCTGTGAAAGTCGTGAAAAAGAAAAATGTTATTTAAAAAAAACAGTTTATGTGCAAGGTGTGTAAGGAAAGTAAAATATACCTTTGATAAAAGAATTATAAGGAGGCATAAGAATATAAATTTTTACCTACATTAAAAGGTTAAAAATATGTAGATTTTGTTTTAAAGGTTTAATCAACTTTTAAAATGTTAATTAGAAGGAAAAGTCTGTGTGTAAACACTGGCTAACATTAAAGAGGCACCATCCAGTTTTTCTGTAAACTGGACATTAAAATAAAAGCATAGCAGGTTTTTCTTAAAGCACCAACAACCTGCTCTTCAGCAAAAATTATAAAAGGTTAAAAAGAGTCTATAAAATCTGACCTTATGCTCAAACATTAAAAAGTGGATAAATATGTCTACAAGGTTTTATTAAAACTAGGTTTAACATTAATAACATACTAATACAAAGGTAAAATTTAGCTTATCTGGTATAAAAATCATACAGGAAGCATTGTCAAATATAAAATGGTGTTTGGCTTCTTTGGTTTAAAAACTAATAAAAATAGGTGCTAAAGGAAATTTTTCAGTAAAAAGGCACTAAGGACTATAAAGTCCACTGCCAAGGTCCCCACATTTAAAACAAAAGGTCAGTTTCTTAAAAAGTATATACTTGGTTTATCTTCCACTTTCCTTTCCCTCAAAAACTACAAGTCTTTTAGCACACGTACCACCCCTAGAATTTCCAGTATACGAGCACCAGCCTGAAGATCACGTTCTCATCAAAGGGTGGAAAGAAGAAAAACTCGAGCCAGCCTGAGAAGGGCCCTACCTTGTGCTGCTAACCACCAAGACTGCTGTTCGTACAGCAAAAAAGGATGGACTTATCACACCCGAGTCAAGAAAGCACCACCCCCTCCAGAGTCGAGGGCCATAGTCCCAGGGGAAAACCCTACCAAACTAAAGCTAAGAAACATTTAACTCTTTTCATCTATTCTATTACTCTTTCTTCTTTCCTCACTCTATTGCTGACCATCTAGTTGTTAACATAACCAAGTCAATTTTGCCTCAAACTATTGCATTTAATGCTGCCTTGTTATACCCTGTAGGGACTTGCCAAGTCAAAGACAGCTTTCTACTTCAGAAAGTACTTCTGTCCCTCCTGACTCTCCTCAGACTGGGCATTAGTAAACTAGGGCCATTTAATCCTGGGAGATTTCGATAAAGTTCCCAGTGCCAACCAGGAGTGTTGCCCCCCCCATTGTAGAGCTTTTATGCCATAGTTGGTCCAACATTCTGTGGACCACTAAAGAGCAAGGATGGACTGCCCCAACCGGTTTTTGTAATTTCCTAAAATCATACATTCATTTTACTAGAAGGATCATAGAAGTTAAAGACTTAAAACAAACTTTAGCAATTAAGACAGGATACCAAGATGCAAATGCCTGGTTAAAATGGATCAAATATTCCATCTGCACGTTAAACAAAAGCAATTGTTATGCTTGTGCACATAGCAGGCCAGAGGCCCAGACTGTCCCCCTTCCACTAAGGTGGTCCTCCAGTCAACCAGGCACAGGCTGCATGGTAGCTCTTTTCCAGGATTCTCAAGCCTGGAGTAATAAGTTGTGCCAAGCTCTCTCTCTCTGCTATATCCTGAAGTCTGGCACCCTGCGGGTCAGACCCCAAGGGCCATCCAGCCTCCATCTCCCAATACTAAGTTCACTTTGTGTCTCTCATGACAAGGAGGAAACTTAGCATTCCTTGGAGATCTGAAAGGATGCAATGAGCTAGAATTTTTAAGAGCTTATCAATCAATCAGCCCTTGTTCATCTCCAGGTGGATATGTGGTGGTATTGTCGTGGATTACTGGGCATTCTGCCGAATAACAGTTCTGCCGTGGCACTTGTGCTTTAGTCCATTTGGCTATCCCTTTCACCCTGGCATTTCATCAACCAGAGGGAGAAAAAAAAATAAGACATCGTAAAGCGAGAGAAGCCCCTTATGGGTCTTTCAACTCTCACATCTATTTAGATACAACTGGAGCCCCGCAAAGAATACCAGATCAATTTAAAGCTTGAAATCAAATAGCTACAAGATTTCAGTCAATATTTTAGTAGGTGACAGTTAATAAAAATGTAGATTAGACAAACTACACCTATTACAACCAACAGCAACAAGCTTAGCCCCAGCCCTGCGGCCACCTGACCTGACAAAACCCTTTACACCCTTTGTGTCAGAAAAAAACTATATATATATATGGCAGTTAGAGTTTTAACTCAGACTGTAGGGCTCTGGCCAAGGCCAGTGGCCTATCTCGCCAAACAACTAGGCAGGGTTTCCAAAGGCTGGCCCCCATGTTTAAGGGCTCTGGCAGCAATGGGCCTGTTAGCACAAGAGGCAGATAAACTAACCCTTAGGCAAAACCTGAATATAAATGCCCCCCATGCTGTGGTAACTTTAATAAATACCAAAGGACATTATTAGCTCATGAATGCTAGACTAACTAGATACCAAAGCTTGCTCTGTGAAAAACCCCACAGAACCATTGAAGTTTACAACACCCTAAACCCTGCCACCTTGCTCCCGGTATCAGAGAGCCCAGTTAAACATAACTGTGTAGAGGTGTTAGACTCAGTTTATTCTAGTGGGCCCAGCCTCTGAGACCATCCTTAAATATCAGTAGACTAGGAGCTGCACGTGATAGAAGCAGCTTTGCCAACCCCTGCAAAGTGACTCTGAAGAAGATGACAAGCCCTGTTCCAGTCACACCCAGAAGCTGACTGGTCCACGCACGGCCAAAGCATGAGGAAACTCATCTTGGGACTCATTTTCCTTAAAATTTGGACTTGGACAGTAAGGGCTTCAACCGACCTTCCTGAGACTGAGGACTATTCCCAGTGTATACATCAAGTCACTGAGGTAGGACAAAAGGTTGCTACAGTCCTATTATTTTACAGTTATTATAAGTGTATTAGAACTCTAAAAAAAAAAGTGTTTGTATAATGTTATTCTATACAAGGTATGTAGCCCAGGAAATGACCAACCTGATGTGTGTTATGACCCATCTGAGCCCCTCCCATGACCACAGTTTTTAAAATAAGATTAAAAACTGAAGACTGGTGGAGGCTCACAAACAATGCAAGTAAAGTGTTAGCCAAAACAGAAAAAAAAAAGAGGTGCCCAAACAAGTCACCTTGAAATTTGATGCCTGTGCTGTCATTAATAGTAATAAGTTAAAAATAGGATGTGGTTGTCTTAATTAGGAAAGGGGCTATATGGCAGAAAATAAGTACATTTATCGTGAATTAGGACTGTGTAAAAATAAATGTGGATACTGGTCTTGTGTCATTTAGTACTTAGATAAAAAATGAAAAAATCCTGTCCACCTTCAGCAAGGGAAAAGAGACCCTTTCTATACCAGTGGTCAGTGTAACCCCTTAGAACTAGTAATAACCAATCCCCTTAATCCTCGCTACAAAAAAGGGGAATGTGTAACCCTAAAAATTGATGGAGTTGGACTGGATCTTCAAGTAAATATCATGGTTTGAGGAAAAGTTTATAAATGCTCTCCTGAGCCATTATTTCAAACCTATGATGAGCTGAATGTGCCAGTACCAACAATTCCAGGAAAAACAAGAAATTTGTTTTTGCAATTAGCTGAGCATATAGCCCAGTCTCTCAATGTCACTTCATGTTATGTATCAGCACAAGTGTACCATATGAATCATTATCAATCTATTGCACAGGAAGACATAAGTAGCAAAAATAAGAGTGAGAACTCCCACTCATAAAAAGTGAAAGTCTCAAAGGCGGGAAATGAGAGAAGGGAGACAGACCTTCTCATATTGTTTTATACTCAGAAAAAGAAAGAGAAGCGAAGCTAAAGGCAGGTAGCCCAGCGCCTAGGAACCAGACCCAAAACCAAGGAACCAGACCCAAAACCAGGCCTGGGCCTGCCTGACCTAAACCTGGTAGTTAAAGATCGACCCCTGACCTAGCCAGTTATGTTATCTATAGATTCCAGACATTATATGGAAAGGCATTGTAAAAATCCCTGTCCTGTTCTGTTTTATTCTGATTACCAGTGCACGCAGCCCCCAGTCAC